CGAGCGCTAGCTTCGGTAATATAATATATTAATTAATTCTTGATTATTAGTGATCTTATTAATTAATGGACATTATATCTTAAACATGGGGAGGTAAATCGGATAATTATAATAAGGAGTCTCAAATGTAATTTGGGATAGGTGAGGGGAGTGCAATAATATTATTGTGGTGGACTTTAATATTATTAATATATTAATTGTGGGGTTGCTCCACAGTATTAATATATTAGAAGCCCTTATCCTATTCTCCTTAGGGTCCCTACTGTAGCTCTATATATACAACATTAAGCTCTTGAAAGAGTAGAGACAATCCCATCAGCTCTATATTTCGTCCGCCTCTCTCTCTCTCTCTTTCCAAGGAGTTCTTCTATTTCTTGTGTTCCACTGATACAAGATCTAGAAAGCTGTTTGAGAATACAGTAGAAGATCTTAAGGTATATAGAGATTCCAATCATACATCCAAACCGGAGACCAAAACCAGCAAGTGACCATACCACGACGACCAGGACGACGAGACGAAGAGATCGCCGTCGAGATCGCCGCCAACCGCCGCCGCACGCACCGCCACGCGCCGCCGCAAGAAAGCAGTCGCTGGAGTTTGTCGTCGCGCGTGACAGCGCGTGAGAAGGCCGATTTCCGATCGGTCAACGCCGTTGACTTCGCCGTGACGTCAGCTTTCTGGATTGGTCAAGTTCGTTCGATTCCGAGAAGATTTGATTTGCGGTCAACTGTTCGGGCCAGCCAGATCTACATAAATTTTAAGCAGTAAGTTTTCTTCATCAAACCTTTAGATCCGCTGCGCATAGGTTTATGTTGAATGTTTTTCCGTGATTTGTGCATATCAAGATCCTCATGGGTTCCAACAGCTTAGAGGTGCACTCGGCTTCGGACGAGGTGAAGGCGGGTGGATTGATAAGGAGTCTTCGAGCAGGGCCTTTGTAATGCCCCGAACAGTTAATAAATAAAACCAATTCACTTGCTCGACTTTAAAGTGAACACTAAAGTTGTTCGATTCAGTAGTTTTAAGTGAATTATTACATGAATTATGTAGTTATATTTGTATTTATATTGAATTATGTGCTCATATATGTTAGTATGATCTAGTTATATCATTCGGTCGTGTCGATATTTCGAGATCGTGCGTTGAGCCATAGTCGAGCCTTAGCCGAGCGCCTAGCCAGGTGCCCGCACAAGTCGGCACCACTCGAACCCAATACCTTAGTAGTCTTTGATGTGCTCATCATAACAATGATTTATTTCTTAAATCCTAGAAATGGTCGAGCCATCATGAGGCTGAGACCATGCGCGCGTATGTACTCCGAGTCATGAGCGTAGACCCTAACCTATTCCATTCTTTAGCTTATGTCCATACAAGTTTTCAAGGGGGTTTATTAGCCATATATTAAGTATTTTTTTTAGCCTAAGTTTTGATTATCAAGGCCAAGCCTCATTAGTCTTAAATAAATTCTTAAACAAGCATGGGTGGGATTTTTTTTTTTTTTTTTTTTAATCACATGTGTAAGACATGTTCCCCACTTCATTTCTTAGTGCCATGACAAGATTTTCAGCATTATTTAGTCCTCAGGGTCGTCCATAACCAGACCTCAATGCTCCACTTCCAATGCCCTCACATGCTAAGCTTTAGTTGACATTGGAAATGAGTTCTTCCACATTTGTCTCCCATTTGATTCCATTTTCTTGCATTGTTAGCTCCGCCATTGACCATGATTTGGATACTTTATAAACCTATACTCCAGATGAGGAAGTTCCATTTTCCTAACTTCAAGTCTCAGCCAAGAAGTCACCCAAACACTTAAGCATATAGCATAAAACCGAGAGTGAATTTATGAGAGCAAGCAAAATTCCGAGTGCATCCTTGTGCTTATTTTCGTGTTCTATGCATCTAACCTTCATAACATCAGCTTAATATCATCCTAAATCATCCTCCTCTAATCCTATAAGTGGTTAGTGCCAACAAACTCAAGGATACAAGCTAAAGAAAGCAAGAAGCCGCAGCTATACGATGACCGAGCAAGACTGAGCATACCCGACTTTCTTTGCATTCTTCTTGAAGATTAAGAGGTTGGTGTGCTAAAATATTTTTAGAATCATAATATAGATTAGATAAGGAGTTGATTGGTATAGATATGTGCCATATATGTTCAGTTATGAAGGATATATAAGCATGCAAAATGTATAAATGATTCCAGCTCACTTGCATGTTCCATATGTCATGTTTTCGGACATTTTTGACTGTGCTATGAAAAACCTGGGAAACTATGCTTTATATAGCTGTTGATTGTGTAAAATAGGAGTTCATAGTATAAAGAATCAAGTCGTTTAGACTAGTATAACTCGAGTTATAAATTTTTGAAGATAAGTATGCAAGTTGATTTTATATGGCAGAATTCAGCTACGACTTCAAACGCGAATAACTCGAGTTCTACTTAGGATAAAATTATAAACTTTTTTTGAAATGTTTATATATATGTTATGAGTCTGCATACCAAATGTTATTATTTTATCTTAAGAATTGAGTGAGTTATGATTTTTACAAAAAGATTGTGCAAGCAGTTTTTGAAATTTCGGGCATAATTGAAAATCATGATGTTGGGCCGTTTTTGACAATCTTAATGTGACTATGTGAAAATATTATCAACATAAAACTTGTAGTATATGTTATAAGGTTTCTCGGAGAGTTGGAATCATGTTAGTTGGAGTTCTTTTTGATTTTATATGATTTTTCAAAGTTGGGGTTATGCCCAGATTTTTAAAACAGTGGCTGTGTTTACGATTGAAATGTATACTCTGAAATGAAGCCCTTAACGTGATTATTTGTAAAAATGCTCTTCTTGGAACTTATAGCAATTCAAGTGTAGTTTCTGTAAGTTTTGAGTTTGCATGATTTAGAATTTTGTGGCATGAGATATCTCAGTTTTAGCGACCTGCTGTAATTGATAAAAGTTGCGTTGGCAGATTTCTTTACCTAAGTGTCTTACGCTTAAACTCGGCTGTAAAGCTATTTTTGGCTTAAGTGATCAACATAACAGTTGTGTATATATGTGTTAACTACTTGTTAGTTTTGGAATCACTTGAATAGCATGCTTATATCTCATGTTACCTTAGAAATATTGAGACCATGCGAGTTGTTCATTCCCATTTTTGGTCTACAGTTATGTTATGTGTTATTGTTGAAGTATGTGGCTAATTTATATCACATGAGTGTAGTTAAGTGATTGTGTGTTAGATAGGCTTTCATAGGACTATTTTGTGTAATGTAGGTGTGTGACGAGCTGTGTCTCGGCCTACCTTTTCCTCGAATTTCTGTGATTTCATCCTCCGGATAACAGGTGGGTTTTACTTATAAAGTTATCTATGCCATACGTATGTTTAAGTGTTTGGTTGGTATGACCTATGTATGAATGTGAACCATGTGGCCTACTGATGTGAGCTGTTACGGCCGTCGGTACGGTTGTCCTCGTCGAGTTACGGTACGGTTGCCCTTGCGAGGCAAGTCTCCTTAAGACCTAATGAAAGGCCGTGTCCGTTACAGTGGCACGCACTCCCGTCGTTAGGGTTTATGCATCCCCTTTCCGCAGCTAATGATAGATGTGCACATGAATGAGTTATTGTTGAGATTAGGAGATGAGACATGATGATGATTGATTTATATTCATACTGCGACCATACCATCTTAACATGTATTATTTATGTGCATAGTGGTGAGCACGCTTTTCATCTAGTGCTCATCCCCACCTACTCTTTACCGATGCAGGTTAAGCAGGAGCTGGGTGACGAGAAGAGACGAGTGGGTCGGTTGTTTTTATTTGTTTATCGCTTCCATACGAATAAGGTTTTATGAACCATTATGTTGGGACTTGATTATGATATTTTCCAAAAACCTATGATTTGTTGTTTTGGAAAAAATTGTGGAACCCGGATTGTTGGGTATTATGGTTGATGATATATGCATGTTGAGTATTATGTCTCGTGATGTGTTTCGGTTAATGAAAACCGTTTGTGAAAACCGGGTAATGAATCCCCGTGAGCCCAGATAAGACTTGGGTTATGAAAAATGTTGTTTAACACCCATTGAATTTTCGAAAATGATTTTGAAAATTTTACACTGATATTTAGAAAGTCCGGAATTTCTTTATAATCAAAGTGGGGTGTTACAGTTTTGGTATCAGAGTCAGTCTGCGTTTCTGTAGACTGGTTAATATGTGAGTATGTGTTTAGACCTTGTGTTATGACCACTCGTCTCCGTCACTCCGCGCTGCTTAAGGTATGTTTTGTTTAAGTATTAATGAAAATACTGGACATGTAAATGATACGCATGTAGTAATGAAACTACTCGTGATGAACTTGTGATTTGGGGCTTAGGATCTATCCACCTTGATTTTATCGAACTCTAGTGTTTATGGAGAACTCTAGACTTCAGTACATATTGATTGTTCTGTTTGTTCTTGTGCTTAAACTCGTTTGACTTATTCAATGTAGAAGTATGAATACTCGCAATCGTAACCGTCAGGCATCCCCATCTCTTTCTCCTCCTCGTCAGCACCAGGCCGCTCCGGCCATGGACCTTACTCAGCTTATCATTCAGTTCCAAAGGATGAATGCACCAACCTTTGCGGGGACTGAGAACCCCACAGCGGTGCTAGAGTGGATCAAAGAACTTGAAAAGATCTTTACTGTACTTCCCCTCCCTGATCGTCAGCGGGTATCCCTTGCAGCTTACCAGATGAAGGAGGACGCTTCCGACTGGTGGATTGACCACTGGGCTCGGAGGCCAGAGGCGGAGCTCCATGCACTCTCTTGGGAGCAAATGAAGATAATGGTGCGCAGCAAGTTCCTTTCCCAGAGCTTTTGGGACAGAATGGAGCATGAGTTTTACCACTTGCAGCAGGGCAGCTCCACGGTGGATGAGTATATCCGCACCTTCACTCGCATGTGCCTTTTTGGGGGCGACGCAGTGAACACCGATGCCAAGAAGGCCCGCATGTTTCTCAAGGGGCTCAACCAGAGGATCCGTGAACTGGTGGGGAGTCATGGACTGATGTCCTATGCTGACACCGTGAGTCGAGCTCAGGAGGTCGAGAGTTGTCTCATTCCATTGGCTCCAGTTCCTTCTTTCTATCATGCCTCCCAGCCATCCCAGGCCATTGTCCAGCATGCTCAGCCCCTCCCGTCTGTGCAGCCCGGCTCTAGTTCGGGCAAGAGAAAATCTGATTATCAGAACAAGAAGAAGGGCAAGAAGGGAAATTTTGGCAGACGCGACGACCGACCCACCCAGGGTCAACTGCCGAGGTGCCCTAAGTGTGGCAGGTTCCACGCCTGAGAGTGCCTAGCAGACCAGCGAGCTTGTTACAATTGCAACCGTCCGGGCCATTATGCAAGTGTCTGTCCTGAGCCCAAGAGGCAGCAGCAGTTCCCTCCGCAGCAGCAGCAGCTTCCCCCACCACCACCTCATCAGCAGCATCAGCAGCCCCTACCGTTCCAGCAGAGGGCTGGGGGTCAGGCCCGAGTCTATACCATCACCCATGATGAGGCTGCTCGCAACACAGGTACCATGTCCGGAATGCTTTCGATATCCCATGTGCCTATTTTTGCTTTATGTGATACCGGTGCTACCCATTCTTTTATTTCTTCTCGTTGCTTGGAGGCTTTATCTTTTGGCACCGTGCTTGCTTGTGATCCTCTCGAGGTTAGTTTAGCCTCGGGAAAAATTATTATCTCTGATTCTGTGGTTCGCAATCTCCCTATCTGTATTGGTGGTCAAGTTTTAGAGGTCTATGCCTATGTAATTGATATGCGAGACTTTGACGTGATCTTAGGCATGGACTGGCTCACCCGTTACCGAGCCGATATCCGGTGCCAGAAGCGCGAAGTCACCCTCTATCCTGTTTCTGATCAGCCTGTTGTGTTCTTTGGGGTAAGTTCGAGGACTGTGCCTCGGGTCATCTCTTCTATGCAAGCTAGGAAGAGCCTTTCCAAGGGTAGCTGTCAAGGCTATCTTGTTTCCATGGTATCCGACGTCGTTGGTGAGCGGGTGCCCGAGCGAGTATCTATCGTTTGTGAGTACCTCGACGTCTTTCCTGATGAATTACCCGGAGGACCGCCAGACCGCCAGATGGAGTTCACTATTGACCTCATTCCAGGAGCTGGCCCCGTTTCTAAGGCCCCTTATCGTATGGCGCCGAAGGAGCTTCAAGAGCTCAAGGCCCAGATCCAGGAGTTGCTTAAGCTCGGTTTTATTCGTCCGAGTGTCTCGCCGTGGGGTGCACCCGTCCTATTCGTAAAGAAGAAAGACGGATCTATGCGCATGTGCATTGACTAGCGGAAGTTGAATGCCCTTAAAGTCAAGAACAGGTACCCCCTTCCCCGTATTGAGGACCTTTTCGACCAGCTGAGAGGAGCCAGCGTCTTCTTACAAATTGACTTGCGTTCTGGCTATCATCAGCTGAAGATCCGGGAGTCGGATATTTCTAAGACTGCTTTCCGTACCCGCTATGGCCACTATGAGTTCGTAGTCATGCCGTTCGGACTCAGCAATGCCCCAGCCGTTTTCATGGACCTTATGAATAGGGTCTTTCATCCTTTCCTGGACCAGTTCGTCATTGTGTTCATCGACGACATTCTGGTCTATTCACGAGACATCGATCAGCACAAGGAGCATTTGAGGATTGTGCTGGAGACTCTTCGCCGTGAGAAGTTGTATGCTAAGTTCTCGAAGTGCGAGTTCTGGCTGAACCGTGTGGCATTTCTTGGCCACATTGTGACAGCTCGAGGCATTGAGGTGGATCCCAGCAAGATTGAGGCTGTGAGCAAGTGGGATATGCCAAGAAGTGCTGCAGATGTTCGTAGTTTCCTGGGGTTAGCAGGATACTACAGGAGGTTTATCGAGGGCTTCTCGAAGATAGCCCAGCCACTGAACAACCTTACGAAGAAGGCCGTGAGGTTCGATTGGAGTCCTCAGTGCGAAGAGAGTTTCCAGGAGTTGAAGAGGAGACTCAATACGGCGCATGTCCTATCTATACCCGACCCTACTTTGGAGTTCACCATCTATAGTGATGCTTCGAAGATGGGTTTGGGATGTGTCCTTATGCAGCAGGGGAAAGTCGTAGCCTATGCTTCGAGGCAGCTGAAGCCTCACGAGCAGAACTACCCCACTCATGATCTCGAGTTAGCTGCAGTTGTCCACGCCTTGAAGATTTGGCGGCACTACCTCTATGGAGGCAAGTGTGAGATCTTTACCGACCACAAGAGCCTAAAGTACATTTTCACTCAGAAGGAGCTGAACATGAGGCAGGATAGATGGTTGGAGCTAGTCAAGGACTACGACTGCACCATTAGCTATCACCCTGGGAAAGCTAACGTGGTAGCCGATGCCCTTAGCCGGAGGAGTTATGGCCAGCTGTCTTGCTTGTTCACCAAGCAGGATGTTCTTCTTCGGGAGTTCGAGCGATTACAGTTGGAGGCAGTGAAGTCAACTTCGACAGCCGGGGGCGTATTGGCCTCTTTGGTTGTGGGACCGACTCTTCGGGAGAGGATAGTCGTCGAGCAACCGAATGACCGTTTCTTGTGCCGGATGAGGGAGTTGTCAGCAGCTGGTAAAGTTGGTGGTTTCGCAGTCGCATCTGATGGAGCCTTGGTCTTCGAGGGTAGACTTTGTGTTCCGAGGGTGTGGGAGCTGCGGAGAGAGATTTAGAGTGTAACACCCCGACTTTCTAATACATCAGAGTACGCGGTTTTTCGCAAATTTTCT